ATTCCCTATCAGGTAGTTCTAGTGCCTTTTCTTCTACTGGAAAGTCATTTGGTGTTTTATTTTGGACGCCTACTGGAACCATCCTGTCCTGTTTTTGTAAATGTTTTCATACTGCCTGCTGTCTTCGAGGAATTCAGTAGTTATTTTCCTCATTTATTGATTGTAAATTTGTTTTTTTGTCCTGCTTTTTTGTTTTATTTGGTCATGTCTGTGTGTTCTTTGTAGTTTGTTCGTCTGTGGGCACAATACTTTTTGCCTCCTTCTCCAATTGGCATGGTCAGTTACTCAGATATGGTAGAGTAGGGCAGGTCTAACTGAAGAGGAGTTTCTGGGATGGGTTGTTTGTGGCACTTACTACGGCCACCAGGGTGGGCTGGTACTCAGTGCAGGACAGGTTCTGGTAGGCCACATGTGGGCTGCTTGGAGGTGTGATGTTCAGTGCACGGTGCAGGTAGGCAGGATGGAGGGAAGAGACTGTGATGTATGGAGCTAAGATGAGTATGGGAGAGAGGAGAACGAGGAGAGAGGAATGGGAGCCAAAAACATACAAACAAACAAAAAAGAGTGCTAGGGGAGCTTGCCGTTGGAGTAGAGAGATGAGAGACTATGAAATGGAGAAAAAACAAAAAGGAGAAGAAGGAGAAAAAAAAGAAAAGAAAAGAAAAAAATGAATAAATAAAAATTAGAAAGAAAAGCTCCCAGGGATCCCACCAGTGCAGCTGCGAGGTCTGGGGAAGTTGCTCCCAGGCCATGAAATACAGCCTGGCTGGAAGAGATAGAGGTGTCACTCAGAGATAGAGGTATTCAGGAGACAGGAACAGAAGGAAAGTAGAGAGATGAGAAACGGAGTAATGAAGAAAGACAAAAAGGGGAAAAGAGAGAAAAGAAAACAAAACAAACAAAAAGAACAAGAACACCCCCCCAAAAAAAAAAAGAAAAAAGAAATGTCCTCAGGGATCCCTCTGTGTGTCTGCACAAACTGAGAGGGTAGGTCCCAAGCCGCGTAGTACTGCCTGGCTAGAACTGGCTCCCAATTTGAGAAAAGAAAAAGAAAACAAACAAACAATTCAAAACAAACAAACAAAAAAAGGCCCAGGATCCCACCAGTGTGGCAGCACGGGCCAGGAAGCAGTTTCACATTCAAGCAGCATTTCTCAGCCTTTCAGGAAGAAGCAAAGATGGTGCATGGAGCCAGGTATTTGAGAAAAAGGAGGGGTAGGTGGTAAGAGGCAAGGAAGAAATCTAAAGAAGCAGAAAAAAGCAACACCAACATCCAACAAATGGTACTTAGGGAACCGACCAGCACGGGCAGGTGGAATCCAAGGGGCTCTGGGGTGAAGCCAGTGATTCCTGGCCAACAGACTGTGGCTGCAGGAGGCAGAGGAGGCTGAGTGGGGGTGAAGAAGGGTGGCGGGTGGGAAAGTGTATATCACTGGTTACCAGTTGTTCTGTCTCCTGCTGGAAGCTCTGTGAAGCTGCTTTCTCGTACCCTCTGTTTGCTAATCTCTGATAGGAGTCCAGGATGGTGGATCCGTGCTGCGTTAGCTGATAGGGGACCTCTGCATGTATCTCTCCTTGCTCTCTCTTCTCTGTCACTTTCGTATTCCATTCGGTGCTTGGCTGAGTTCTTTATCTCTTCCTTTGATGCTTAAGGTTTCAGGATTGCTGTTTTCTCTGTTTGGCCTAGTTTTCTGGATCTTTGATGTGGAGGGACAGTGTGGTGCTTCTGCCTATAGCACCATGTTGCCCAGAAGTCTCATCAATGAGGGTTTTTTTTTTTTAATCTTTATGGGAGGAACCCTGGTGGCACAAGTGGTTAATCCCTCAGCTGCTAACTGAAAGGTCAGCAGTTTAAACCAACCTGCCGTTCTACGGAAGAAAGATGTGGCAGTCTGCTTCTGTAAAGACTTACAGCCTTGAAACCCTATGGGGCAGTTCTACTCTGTGTTATAGGGTCTCTGTGAGTCAGAAATGACTCAGCAGCATTGAGTACTCTTTATAGGAGCAGATCTCTCACTGGGTGAATTCAAACTGCAGGCCTTTGTTCCACCAGGGCTCCTGATCACCTCAGTATAAAAAAAACCATTGTCATTGAGTCAATTCTGACTCATAGGATCATCTCAGTAGACACATAAAAAGCTTTTGACAAAATTCAACACCCTTTCATGATATAAACACTAAACAAAAGAGGGACAAAAGAAATCTTTCTCAACCTGATAAAGGGAATCTACAAAAATTCCATAGCTAACATGATACTTCATTGTGAAAACTGAGAGCTTACCCACCAAGAGCAGAAATGAAATGAGGATGCCTGTTTTTGTCATTTGTATTTAACATTGTTCAAGAGTTTCTAGCCAGGACAATTAATCAAGAAAAGTAAATAAAAAATATCCAGATTCAAAGGCAGATGTTAATCTATATTTGCAGATGACATAATCTTGTATATAGAAAACCCTAAGGAATCCACAAAGATAGCTAACAAGTTCAGTATACAAAATCAATAGTATTTCTATACAATAGCAATGTACAAAAAGAAAATGAAATGAAGAAAATAATTCCATTATATAAAAAAGTATCAGTTCTATAGTATCAAAAAAATGAAATACTTAGGAATGAATTTAACAAATAAATACAAAACCCATGCAGCAAAAACTACAACACATTGTTGAAAGACATTAAAGAATGCCTAGATAAATGAAAAGACATCTGCATTCATGAATTGGAACATTTAATATTATTTAGATTGTGATACTCTTCATATTGATCTATAGATTTCAATGTAATGCCTAATAAAATACTCGCTGAATTTGACAAGCTGATCCTAAAATTCATATGGAAATACACAGGGCTCAGAATAGCCAAGGCAATAGTCAAAAGAAAGAACAAAATTATTTCTCTCACACTTCTCCATACCAAAACTTACTATAAAGCTACAAAGATCTAGACTATGTGATACAGCATAAGAATAGACACGTACATCAAGGGAACAGAAATGAGAGTTCAGAAATAAACTCATATAGTTATGATCAATTGATTTAAAACAAAGGTGTAAAGATAATTCAGTGGGAGAAAGAATAGTCTTTTCCACAAATTGTGCTAGGACAACTGGATATTCATATGCAAAACAGTGAAGCTGGACTACTACTTCACATAATATACAAAAATTACCATATTTTATGCAAATAACGCACACCTTCTATGTTTGCCAACCATTCCCTCCCCCCACAAATATTTTTGTAAGTGTGCTATGCTAATTTTTTTACAGTAACATGTAAAAAAAATTGGCATAGCAGCACTTATGGAAATATCTCATGAGGTGGGAGGGAGCAATTGGCAAACAAACATAGAAGGCACCTGTTATTTGCATTAAAATGTGATAACTCAAAATGGATCAAAGATCTAAATGTAAGAGCTAAAACTATAAAACTTCTAGAAGAAAATTTAGGTGTATATCTTTGTGACCTTAGATTATTCACTAATTTCCTCGATATGACACCTAAAGTGAAAAGCACCAATAAAACAAATAAATTGGACTTCATCAAAATTTAAAATTGTACATCAAAAGACACTATCAAGAAAGTGGAAATACTAGTCACAGAATGGGAGAAAAGATATCCATATATCTGATAAAGGCTAGTATCCAGAATATATAAAAAGCACTTAAAGCTCAACAATAAAAAGACCAATCATTGAATAAAATGTGGGCAAAGGATTTAAATAAACGTTTTCAAAAAAAGACATTCAAGTGGCTAAAAAGCACATGAAAAATGCTCAATATCATTAGTCATTAGAGAAATGCAAATCAAAACCACAATGAGATATATTTTCACACCTACTAGAAGTGATTAAGAACCCGGGCTGCTAACCAAAAGGTCAGCGGCTCAAGTCCACCAGCCACTCCCTGAAAATCCTATGGGGAAGTTCTACTCTGTCCTATAGGGTCACTATGAGACAGAATTGACTTGACAGCAATGGGTTTCAAGTGGCTATATTCAAAAAGACAAATAATAACAAGTGCATGGGAGAATGGGCAATGACTACTAATGGGAATGGGATTTCTTTTTGGGATGATAAAATGCTCTAGCATTTGACAGTGGTGATAGTTGTACAAATTCGTGAATATACTAAAAATTACTAGATTGCAAAAAAAATCTATCCCAGAATTGACACAGATTTTAGAATTAGAAGATATTAGTAATAGTTATTAATAATGCTATATTCTATATGTTCAAAACGTTAAATAGAGACTCAAAAGATAAAAAACAAAGACTGAAATCAAACTTCTAAAGATGAAGATTATAATGTCTGACATGAAAAATAGATTGATTTGGGATTACTGGCAGATTAGACATCACAGAATAAATAATTAGTGAACCTGAAGACGTCCATATAATGGAATACTATTCAGCAATAAAAAGGATTAAATTATTGATACATACCACAACATGACTGAATCTCAAAATACTTACGCTGAGTCAGAAAAAGTAGAGTACATATTGCACTCTATTTATACAAAACTCTATGCAAACTAATCTATGGTGACAAAAAGCAGATCAGGTTGCCCGTGGAGGAGGGGAGAGGAATTAATAAAGAGCACAAGGAAAGTTTTTTTGTGTGATAGAGATGCTCTTTATTTGATTATGGTAATGGTTTCACAAGTACATACGTATTTTTAAGCTTATCAAACTGTACACATGTGCACCTTATTTTATACCTCAATAAAATTGTTTTTAAAAAGTAGGCAACTATGCCAGTTTGCCAAAATGTTCCTGGTGGATGCTGTGATAGTCAGCATCAATTGACACTAAGGATTGCACTAGACTTTGTTAACATATGTGTTACTATTACTCTATTTGTACCATCCAATTGTCAGTGGTTTTACTCCTTAGAATGATATGCATTCCATCATCTACCACTGTATTTAAATTTTCAACCCAGTTTCAAATTTTTTTTTTTTAAATTCAGGAGCAAAACTTTTCAACTCCCTCTTTTTGTCTTACCTGTGATGAGTCTCTGGTCACCACAATATATGTGCAGGGTGGGTTCCTGCACTTTTTGATTGAAAGAGGTCTGGTTGAAGGATCACAGAAACTTTCATTGGCTGGAAAATTTTGTGCATCAATACACTTCACTTGTCGATGTGTCTCTTTTCTCTTACATGATGCCAAACACTAGAAATGCAATTACAAAATTAATAGCACATTCTTATATGTGGTGTCTTTGAAAGTTTATTCATGAATACTTACATCTTGCCAATGTCCTGCAATCCACCTGTACTGCACACAGTCCTCATGCCAACATCGCCTCTGAAAATGAGGCTGGGTGGACGGATCGCACATTTCTTCAGCCACTCGACCAACGCCTTTCAGTCTGCAGTACACATCCCTTTGCTGAATCCCAGGGCCGCAAGTTACAGAGCACTGCAGAGGAGCCCCAGTTATTTAAATGGTTAAATAACAAATATAAAATTCTATTAACATAGCAAATAAAGCTATAATGTATTTTCTTGTTTCTTTTCTACACAGTCTGTTATGATATCATGCATTAAGCAGAAAATACATGCAGTAATTTTTTTTTTTACCATTATCTAGCTTGGAGCTTCTATATAAATATATAAATAAATTTTCTTTATTTTGCAATGTTACCTAAGACCCATTCAAGCCTTACAAAGACTTTGACTGGTTAATCATTTTATTCCAGACACTTCATCCTAATAGATAACTATCTCTTCTGTCTTTAATATACTTAATGCTAGAAGAGTTTCTGGGCAGTGCAGACAGTTAAGCCTAGGCTGCTAACAGAAAGGTTGGCAGTTCAAATCCACCCAAAGGCACCTCGGAAGAAAGGTCTGACAGTCTACTTTTGAAAATTTAGCCATTGAAAACCCTGTGGAGCACAGTTCTACTCTGACACACATGGGGTCACCATGAGTGAGAAAGTCAGCATCTACTTGATGGCAACTGGTTGTTTGTTTGTTTTTTTTGAATGTCTATAAAAATTATCACATAATTAATCATATACTATTCTACTACATTGTTTTTAAATGCCGCTTAAATTCTTACACTGTATAATCATCTTCCTCAAAGAACATTAGCTCTCAAGATTGGGTTATATTTCTCTTTACACCTGTAGTATCTACTCTAGTTTGCTCCTCTTAAGGATCCACGTACTTACAATGATCTGGATTAATGGTTATATTTCAATGGACAGGAGTTTTGGGGAGCTGGTTATGTAAGCTTAGACAACCTGTCTTAATCTCTGGGCCTCATTGTTCTTAACTGTACAAAGAAGATATTCTGTTATTTGTAAAAATTCATGCAACATTTCCCAGACATTTAATCCTGATCATAGCCTTGTAAAAGAGGCACCACTGCCTAGAACTCTGAGGCTCAGACAAGAGGTTACTTCACTTGCCTAGGGTGCCAGCACTAATTCGTGATGATGCAGGTTGAAGTGCAGTCTTTTCTGACTCCAGAATTTGAGCTACCACTGTGCTTCCTCCCAGGGATGGAGAAGGACTAGACAGCCTCTCAGGGCTCTCTCAGCTCTAGAATGCCAGGTGTTTCAAAACAAAGTAATAAAACCAAATAATAATAGAGCTTGACTACATCCAGGAATTGTGATGTCAACATTAATAGGCTAGAGTACTTCCAGGGATGTTTATTCAGTTTGTGGTCTTGGTTATTTATACTCCTTGTTGTTCTAGAGAGGGATTGGAGGTGGTGTTGAAGATTGAGGCTCAATCAGTGTTTCTAAGTTTAATATTGTAAATGTATAAAATCAAGTTCTTCATCAAATTCTCTATGTCTGCAGAAGTCCCAGAGTAACTAATTTCCTTTTTTACAACAGTAAATATATATCTGGAAAATATGGATTTACCATGGATGAAAACAATTTAAATCTCACAAAAGCTAAGAAATTGGTTCACCTTGTAGACCCAAATCCCTCTTATAAGCAGTTGCAGCATCTTTAAAGAGACTTTAAAATTTACATTTTTTATCTGTGTGTATAAGCAGCAACCATGGACTTCAAACAGAATTTTTATGTTGTATTGCCTATGAAGAATATTATACATGTTTACAGTGTTTATATTGCTATTCATTTTATGCTCAGGGAGAAAAGGCAACAACAACAAAAAGGTTTTTGAGTATTTGGCTTCTAGAACTATTCTCTGTCAAGCGGTTGAATTTTGCCAGCTCGTTGAATGTTTTCACAAAAAACATAAAACCCTTTGTATGGAGCCAGTAATCATTTAATGTGCACTTTTGGCACGCACACTAGTAGGTAGGCTAAAATGCCTGGATGTAGTTTAGTTTGTCTAAATCATTTGTGAAAATGTTTAGCCTACAACATCTAGCTCAACTGGCATAACACAGCTGATAAAGAAAATGTTCTACATTCTACCTTGGTGAGTAGTGTCTGGGGTCTTAAAAGCCTGTGAGCAGCCATCTAAGATACTCCACTGGTCTCACCCCTTTGGGAGAAAGGGAGAATGAAGAAAACAAGATATAAGGAAAAGATTAGTCCAAAGGACTAATAGACCACAACTACCGCGGCCTTACCAGACTGAGTCCAGTACAACTAGATGGTGCCCGGCTATCATCGCTGACTGCTCTGACCAGGATCACAACAGACAGTCCCGGACAGAGCTGGAGAAAAATGTAGAACAAAATTCTAACTCACAAAAAAAGACCAGACTTACTGGCCTGACAGAGACTGGAGAAACCTTGAGAGTATGGCCGCCAGACACCCTTTCAGCTCAGTAATGAAGTCACTTCCAAGGTTCACTGTTCGGCCAAAGATTAGACAAGCCCATAAAACAAACGGAGACTAATAAGGCACAACGGTCCAGGGACAAGGACTAGAAGGCAGGAGGGGACAAGAAAGCTGGTAATAGGGAATCCAAGGTTGAGAAGAGACCGTGTTGACATGTCGTGGGATTGTTAACTATTATGTGTACTGTTTATTGAGAAACTATTTGTTCTGTAAACCTTCATCTAAAGTACAATAAAAAAAAAAATGAAAGAAAGAAAAAAAAAAAACTTTATACCAAAATACTTAGCCTACAAAATAAGACTCCTGCAAACATTTTCCAGGGATAATTTCAGAAATAAAAACTATATGTGGAAAACATCCTGCCTCTAAACCTAGAAAAAAAAATCCCTGGAAAAAATTAGTTTACAAACACAGTTTATCAAGAAGTTCTACCAGACAAATATAGTTTTCTATAATAAACCAGTGTGGTTTATTGGCCCTTTGATGGTGACAATGAACAGCAACTATGTTTCTATTGTGGACCATTTCCCTACAAGGAGAGAAAAATGGAATTCTACATGAAAAAAAGAAAGGAACTTCATTTTTCAGTTTTTTAGAGATAAAAGTAAAAAAAAGAGTAAACTGTTACAATTTTAAAATATGAACAAGGAATACAGTTTATACTTAAATATTCCCTAACTGATGTCATCAATAACTCCCAACTGCCAAATCCAACAGAAACTTTTCAAAGTTTTTCTTAGTTAATCTCACTGCCGCATTTGGCACCATTGATCACATTCTCCTTGAGCCATTCTGATTTTTTGACAGAAATCCCTTCTGGTTGTAGGTGATCCTCTCTTACTTCTTACATTGCTCCTTCTCAGGGTCCTTAACTGATTCCATTTTCTCTGTTGATTCTTTAAACATTAGCATTTCCCAGGATTTGGTTCAGTTTATAACTTGCTTCTCTTTTCATCCTCTAAGCTCTCTCTGAACAACTTCTTCTATGCACCAATACTTTGTAAATCTGTTATCTCCAGTCTACAACAAAATTCTGAGTTCCACATTTATATTTTAAAATATTTACAATAATCCCATCTGTACTTAGATATGTCAAAGGATCCTTAAATTCAGCATTTCCAAAGCAGAACAAGTTACCTTTGCCCAAAGCCTGTTCTTCCTCTTGTGGTCACAGACACAGTGAAGATGCTATCACTCATTCTCAAGTGACCCACTAGAATGGATTGCCAAGATATACGTACAGCTCTCAAATACTTGCCTCAAACGTTTTAACAACTTCATAAAACTACATATTTATAAGCATGTTAAATTTTACCTTTTTTTTAAAAATCCAGGTAACTAATGTGAAGACAGTGTGAGGTTATAGCTACACAAACAGCACAAATAATCGATTAGGATACACTAACTCACCAACACTGCATAATTAAATTCAAATAGGAAAAACAAGCCAAATATCCTATTTATATGTAAATATACTATAACACTGCATAGACTGATGCTTCAAAAACTTGACAGTAGAAGGTGAATCTTAGCAAACCAATAGGTACTGTAGTTTTAGCTATCACTAGGACAGAAATAAATGTTAGAAAATGCATCGTTTTGCAAAAATAGGTTCATCAAGGCTGACTCACTTTGCTATTTAATTAAATGATAATTTAAAATGTAATTAGTGAAGTCATCTCTCCTGATGCATTATTTATAATTTCTTATTATGGATTAGTGTAGTGGTTAAGAATTCGGCTGCTAACCAAAAGTCGGCAGTTTGAGTCCACCAGGTGCTCCTTGGAAACCCTATGGAGCAGTTCTACTCTGTCCTATAGGGTCACTATGAGTTGGAACTGACTTGACGGCAACAGGTTTATAGTCAGTTAGTTATTTGCAACTATGATTTATTTTAAGTGAGTCAGTAAAGTAGCAATGGTATAGTGTTTTGAGGTAGAAGAAATTCTGGGATATTCTATTCTAACATCTCCTCCATTCTGAAATCCCTTCTGTAGCAATAATGAATCGGTAACCATCAAACCTACCCATACTTACATAGCCTCATTCCGGGTATGTGCACCATATTCTGAATGCAACTACTCCATTTTTGGTTGTCTCTCATGTTAACAAATATTCTCCTTGGTTGAGCTAAATTATTCTTCCTTTAACCTTTACCCAGTGTCCAAGAATCTTCCCTCCTTATCAACACAGAACAAATATATACCTACAACCATATAAGAAAGTATGAAGGTGTGAGGCCTGGAACTTCGGCAACCACTTTATGACCATTAGCAGTTGACCAACAGAATCACAGAACTGCAGGATCAAACTGAGAATCTTTGGCCTCCAGGTTTTGATATATGTACAGTAAATGTTTTTGTAATTTAAATCACTAATAATCATGGATTTTGCTACTTTCAACAGAACACATCAGAACTGATACAAAATAGTTGTTACCATTTAATTGTGCTTCTCTGGAGCTTTGGTAATTTGCCAAGACTTTTATTACAGTGTGTCTCCCAGAATGTGGAGATTCACTAGAATCCAAATACCTGACCAGGATCTATTAGTGCCAAAAATTTGAACACTATGTGTCTATTGATGTAGCCTAATATGTTGCTAGTGATTTAAGCAACTACATCATATTTAATATGTGGTCAAT